CCCCCCCCCCCCCCCCCCCCCCCCCGCTCCCACACACACATCGACACACCCTGCCATGTGTCTTCCCGTCCGTCAGATATCTCTGGGCCCCTACACGTTGGACTTTGTGCGTGCGATGACGCCACACGAGGAGCAGGAGGCCCTGAAGGACATCGGTGTGGACCCACACCCTCCCGACGAGCTGCCCGAGGGGCCATATGCACGGCCGATGGAGCACACTGCAAACAGCATGAAGCACACATGGGGTGAGGGCATGCAGTGCGCAGAAGGGGAGAGGAGGAGGAGAGGGGCAGGATGGTGTGTGTGTGTGTGTGTGTGTGAGTGCTGCAGAGGAGGATCTGAGTGACGGCGGCATCATCATAGAGGTGGACGGCCCCCACCACTTCTACAAGAACTCCTACCACTGGACGTCCTTCTCCAAGCTCAAGCACCGGCTGCTCACCCGCCTCGGCTTCAAGGTCGTCCACATCCCCTACTTCACCTGGCAGACACTCCGCGCCAAGGACGAGAAGTATGCCTACGTCCGACGCCTTCTCGAGGCTGCCAAGATGCAGATGCAGCTGGACATAGCGGACACTGGTGTGGACTACCAGCCGCCCCCTGACGTCTTCTGGACAAACCCCCATGCCGTGAGGAAGCCGAGGAGGCCATACCAGAGCGGCATGAGTGCCCCGGTGGACCCCTTGATGGTCGACTGGGATGGGCAGAGAGAGCGGGAGAGACAGAAGAGAGACCAGAGGGGGCGGGGGAGTGGGGGAGGGAGGGGGAAGGGGAGGCTGGCTATGACTGCACACAAGATCGCTCGGGCGAGGCTGAGGGGTGGCAGGAATGCTTGATGGATCCATGCACAGGAGGGGGGATACCCTAGAGGTATATATGTGGCTACTGACATGTGGGTCGGTCGGGTCATTCGACCGAAGCGAACAAATAGACCTTTGATTGACGAGCACTAAGGCTTCGTGTGTGAGTGTGTCCGAACCATTGTCAGACGTGCAGCAACACACATAAGTACACATAAGGCACAAGACACCCACGCAGACACGCAGCCACAAACCTGTGTGTGTCTGTGTGTGTGAACGGGCAGGTTTAGATGTCATCGTCGTCATCATCTTCATCTTCATCCCCGCTGGAGAGCGAGTCCATCTCGTTCTCCGCGTACACAGCCAGATAATACGACAAATCGTTACCTGGGCGCCCACACACACACACACACACACTCTAACTATGGTGCACATGTGGTGTGTACTGCGAAGGCTAGGTCGACCTTTGAAGTCCTTCGCCTCTCTGTCGCACCCCGGTCCCTCCGGTGGCTGCTTGAAGGCCCACTCCAGCCACGGGCCGTCGCCAAACGACTGCGCCAGCCGCATCGGCACTGTCACGCCATCCGCACTCACTGCCTGCATAACATAACAAAATAGTTATGCGTGGAGGCTGGGCAGTTAGCAGGGGTCGTGTGTGTGCCATGTGCACCTACCTTCATGTCGGCGCCGGCTTTGTGCAGTATCTTGAGGAGGTCAAGGGCAAGGGACGGATCGAGCACTCTGTCCGCACACACCATGGCTGGCGTCTCGCCGTCAGTGTTCCTGCACAAACAGCGAATGCACATCCGTCCGTGGTTGTGCTGGTCCATCCATCCACCCTGCTGCCCACCGTGCGTAGACCAGCTCCCCTTGTGTGGCTTCGATAAGGAACTCGAGCACATCGCCCGGGCTGGCAATGCCGCTCGACGCCTCCCTCCCACCAGAGCCGCTCGCACTTGCGCTCGCACTTGCACTCGCACTTGCCTCAGCAGCGTCTGGCTGGTGTCGTCTCGCCTTGCGGGCCTCGGGATCACCCCCAGCACCCTGCTGCTGCTGCTGCTGGTGGTCTCCATCATTCTCTGGGATGAGGTCATCCTGAGAGAATGAGATGAATGAAATGGGAAGGAAAGAGGGACGATGTGTGTGTGTGTGCGTGTGGCTGACCAGTTCTGTGTCTAGGTCTTCCTCAGCGTAGAAGAGCAGGTGCAGCAGGGTGTGGCCGCTGTTGTCGCGGTGGGCGATGTCGCCTCCGTGAGCCACCAACCACCTGCGACGGTCAGATGGGATGGATGGATGGATGGACGGCGGTGGTGAGTCGTCTGTATGGTGTGCAAGTAACTCATTCAGTGACTCACTTGAGGTCGGGGAGCCTCCTTTCCTGCGTGCAGTAGACGATCCAGGGCAGCTCCAGGTCCTCTATCATGCTGTTCACCTCTACGTCAAACAACCAACACACACACCCTCTCATACCACAGACATGAGTGAGTGAGTGTGTGTGCGTCTGTGTGGTGTACCTACCGTCGGGGTGGGCGGTGAATTCCCTTTCCATCGTCTGCACCCGCTGCTGCGCGTCCTCTTCGCCCTCCGTCAGCCCCTCACCGTAATACAAACGCTCAGCCGCTGTGTACCTGCACACACACACAGGCAAACACAACACAACACAACACATTCATCCCAGCCGAACGATCCCCCGGGCCACTCACGCATTCTGCAGGAGAAACTCTATGGCGTCTTTAAGGTCTCGTGCGCCTCCCGATCCCCGTTTGGGGCTGACTTCAATGCGGCCCTGGTGGATGCGCATGGCCTCGTGCAGCGGCGTGCGGTTCTGCAGACTCCGCTGCCGGAGGGGCGCGCCCTCGCCCTTCAGCCACGTCAAAGCCGACACATTGTTCTGAACCTGCAGACAGAAAGGCAGCGCAGTCACGAGAGCAACACACGCATCCTGACCGTGGGTCCATTGCTTTGGTTACCGACCGCAGCGTAGTGCGCCAGCGTCCATCCGTCGCGGTTCTTGTCGGCGGTGCGGAGAAGGTCGTTCTCCCTCCTTGTCATGTCCTTGACCTTGTCCCACTCCATCCTCTCGGCGCATCCGAACAAGAGCAGGGAGGACGTGCTGGGACGCCGCCCTCCCTCACCCGATGCCATCAAATCCGCCATCCCCTCCGTTTTGTATCTAAGCTCGCAGACGGATCGGCGAAGGATTTCGCCTGTTTTCCCCCACAGATCTCCGCTTCCGTGGGCAGAGTGATGATGTCTGCGTCGCTGCCAGGGCGTTCATCTGTTGCACGACTCATCTGCGAGTGCGACCAATCCCTCGACAGAATGCGTTAGCTCGAGAGCAACGCCAGAGAGGGCGCCAAGCAGCTGGGAGAGGAAATCATGGCCTCAGTGGCTGCCAGAAGTGGTTTGTGGGAGCAACCTGAGACCTCCGGAGAGGTGCTCATCAACGCGGGTAATACTGTGCAGCGCAGGCCCTGGGAGAGAAGGCCAAGACACAATGGCAGTCCACTTTATCGATGTCATTGGTCTGTTGTGTGTGCGCTGACCTGTGTTCTTCCTTCAGGTGGATTCGTCTACCCAGTGAGCCGCCGAGGCCTGCTGATGCCCTTCATGCGCCAGCGATACATCTCTGTCCTGCTGATGCACTTCGCTGACGGCCTCCCGCGAGATGCCGACGGCCATGTCTATCTGGAGACCTCACCTGCATACTTTGAGGCTTTGCTGGACGAGCTGACGCTCTACGAGACCGGCCGTACCAACACTGTCGACCTGCCGCCCTCCAAGGCGGCTGACCCGGCTTACAGCGAGTACCACTCCCTCTTCATGCGGGAGATTTCGGCGTTCTCTCCATCGGCTGACCAGCAGACACCGCTCGATGCTGTGCCTGCTCACGATGCGGGTGTCAAGGAGGCCACACAGCTGTGCGTTGATTTCATCGAGAAGTCGACTCGCGCCTATGTGAATGCCATCAAGGGGCTGTGGCGGATTGGGGATGACATCAAGGCGTTCCTGGCGGACATGGATCCCTTCATGAAAAGCTCGAGCGATGCCGACAATGCCCTACTGAGCCTGACCGTCCTGGGCCGCCGGGTGACTATCATGAAAAAGACGCTGTGTCGGCTGGGTGACGATCACCCCCTGCTGACACGATTCTCCGAGTAAGGGGGGCACACGACAGTCCTGTGCTTTGACTCTTCCTGTGATGATTTGCTCGTGCAGCACTGCCCCGAACTGGCCTGATCGGCGCGTCAGAGAAACCCCCGCGAAGCATTTCATCACCGCAGTGGAGTTTGCCAGGCGCATGCGACCATGCCGCCGGGACAGCTGATCACACCCCCACCGATTGAGCCCCCCAGGTGGCGGCTGTGCGCGCGACGGCTGTGTATCGAGGACATGGAGATGTACGGCCTCTCCCGCGCCCCGATCTGTCATCTGCCGCCTGGTGGTGATTTCATCATCAAGTCTGCAGAGGAGTGGGTGAGTGTGCTGGACATGATCGACAAACCGGCATGCAGGGCGTCGCTGTCGTACAGGTGAGCAGCCACGAATGCTCCATACTGCCACTGTCAAAGAGAAGCGGCTCCCGCCGTTTGTCAGGTCTAGTCGTGACGGTGGTGACTTCGGCACGATGGTGGACAAGGCGGGCGATGCGAGCGGTCTGCTCTTCCTCATCAACCACAACGACACATACCGATTCGGCGCCTTTGTCGACGGCCGACTTAAGCCGCCCGCCGACCCCACACAGACCAGCGGACACTACAAGGTGCCGCACTTCTTCATCTCCATCAGCGGAGCCTACGGCAAAGTCACCAAGGTGCCCATCCCCGAGGCCAAACAGAGGGTCGAGGTCGCCGGCCGCGACGCCTCCATCGAGGCCAGCAATCAGGACTCACGTGGCAAGGTGGGAAGAGGGGCAAGGTGGGAAGAACAAAGCAGCACGAACAGAAGGACACGGCTGTTACATTGCTGAGGGCAGTTGTATTTGGGTGAGGGATACCTGTGGCTTGCGTGGGCCGCCCCCGGCCCGGCAGATGACGTGCGGTGCTGCAACAATCATATCAACAAGGACGACCTGCCTGATGGCTACCTCGACCAATGCAACGACTACGGCCAAGGCACACTGGCGGGAGGATTCACATTTCACGCAAAGGAGATCGAGGTATGGCATGTTGTGAGCGGCGGTGTCGCCAAGAGCGCATGAATGTGTCGGTCGGTGGGCACAGCATGCCTCGTACACGTGTGTACGTATGTGTGCGGACGTCTGCTGACTGCTCTTCACTTCTCTGCGCATGATCGCTGTACCATAAGTAGCTCGCTTTACTCATTTTGCGTATGTGTTTTCCTATCTGGCGGGCTGTCCGTGTCGTTTGTCGATGAGATCGATTGTGTGGCGTGAGGGCCTTCATGCGCTGGGGGCGAGATAGCTGGATGGCCATCATGCCTCTGCTGCTGCATACCCACATGCACCTAAGCTCTTTCTGCTACCTACCACTAAAGGGATCTATCGCGCCCAGTCGGCTCATCACCGCACGTGAGACACGAATGAACACGTCAACATATGGAGCCCAGCAAAACACAACGCAAAGGCAAGTGACTGACGATGGTACTGACGGTCTCTCGACCCTTAATCCGTGGAATGCCGAACATTGTGGGCGGGAGCGTGACACAAAGACGCGTACAGAATATGGACCCTCCACCAGAAGGCCTGCAACTGCGATGGCAGTACGGCGGCTCCCATTCCTTCCATGCATGGCTTCTTTGCCTCTGCTTGCATCAGCACAAAGACACAGTGAGAGTGAACGCGGTGCATCCATGGGTGGACCGCCCACATTTCTCCACATTGCGTCCCAACCTCGTAATGACATGATGGCCTTTTCTTGCACCTAAGCTCAGTGGATCAGGAACTCTGCAGCACTCCACTGAGAGCTTTAGGGAGAGACGGGGAGACGCCCCCAAGTGTGAAGTAAATCTAAAAATATATGGCGAGAATCGAGCACTGAGACGATACAGCAGCGAGAGTTCATCAATCTTCACCGTCTACAAAAGCGCCCCTGCACCGTTCCTGAAAAATGTTAACGTTCGCCGCAGCAGCATCGCCGCACCAGCCATTCAGCCGTGTGAAGCTGGATGAATATTCTCAAGGGCGAGTTGAGAGAGGACTGAAGAACAACAGCGAGGGGACAGCCTCAGGCCGCGGCCCGGCATCCAAAGCCATGAGCTTTCAGCGGATAGACGCGTCGGTGGCGCTTGATTATTACCTACCGTGTGCTGCTGAAGCAGACCGAGGAAATCACCAAGATGCCCATCGACCCGTCGCAGTGGAAGGGGAAGAGGACGGGCAGCACGTTGCCGATGCTGCCCGAATGTCGAGTGCTGGCCCCGACCCTCGTCAGCCTCAAGGTGAAAGAGCTCATCGAGGCTGACCCATCAGATGGCCTTCTGATCCACACAATCAAGGACTGTAAGTTGTTTCTCTGATACATGCGGATGGAGAGAGAGGGTGTATGTCTGTGCGCATTGTGTGCGTCCTGTAGGTCTGGAAAGCTGCTACGACGACTGGGTGAGGTATATGGAGGTTGCGCAGGTGTTGCGGGACAGGGCCTTTAAGCACGGTAAGGCAGTCATGCAGTCACTGTGACAAAGCGCGACCATAGGCGGGCCTGCCTGGCTGCCTGCCTGGCTGGCTTGTGTGTGATTGCACAGAGAGGGCCAACAAGTACAAGAAGGACTTAGAAAACGTCCATCTCCTTTGGTGCAAGGAGCGAGAAGAGAAGGTAAGTCTACGTGCTGCTAACACACCGAAAATGCAAGTTGTACATCTGTCTGGCCTTATCGGTTTGGGCCCAGGAGATAGCGCAGGAGGAGGTCAACGGACTGAGAGAGGAGGTCAGCAACTGCACAGCACGACTGAGATAGGGTGTGATGCAATCAATCATGGTGTCCTCCTGTTGCCTTCAATCAGAACAAGAAGCTCAAGACAGCCCTGGATATCTGGGCAACCGGCCAGGTACGTAGGCGTCTTCTCTTCATTCACCCGTGTCTTACACCCTTTTTCATCTCGCGTCTGTGCTTATGTGTCTGTCAGGCTCAGGAGGGCGGGGTGGCCAGCGAGGAGGGGGACAGGGGGCCGGGAGTGTTGCATCCGCTGCTGAAGACAGCGACGACGATGAGGATGACGAGTCGGATTCGGAGAGCGAAAACAACGAGGGTGAGACGGACGGTCAGTCACTTAGTCGACTCACACGGACGGGCACACAAACCATGCACACACAAACAAGACACATTCTCCTCCACATGGGTCAGGTTGTTCATCTCCGACTACCGCAGAACCTGCCGCTGCGCGACTCGTGCCCATTGGTTTAAGATGTTGCAAATCGCTGTCTACATTTTATATCCTGACGTTCCCATTGCTTTCGTAGCCTTTGAATCACCCCCCCTGGCGTCTACCCAGTTGCAGCTGCCCGGCGCCATCCGGCGCGAGCGCGCTACCAACGCTGACGGCTGGGTATTCGTTCGTAGGTGCCAGGCGCCCCCCATCTGCTCCCCCTACGCGGCCTCACCCGCCAAGGGAAAGAAGAAACTGGCGGGCAACCGCTTCTCTGTCTTCATCGACGACGACGAGTCAGACATCGAGACCAAGGCTGACGGCAAGAAGAAGCGCAAGAACAAGAAGAAGATGACCAAGTCCAGCACCGAATCACCCACCAAGGACGGTGCCTCCCCCGCCCCCGCCCCTGCCCAAGACGACGCCCTGCCTGCTCCCCCACCCACAACTGCCCACGAGGCCGAGGCCGAGCCGCCTGCCGAGGAGGCCAAGCCGCCAGTGGATGTGCCGACGGCCACCACGGCTGCTGCTGCTGAGCTGCGCACGTCATCAATTGAGAGTTATGTCTCTTGTTGTCAGGATGAGACATGAGCATAACAACATGACGGAGCTGATGAAGGACCGAGAGAACATGTACCGCACCATCAAGCAGTGTGAGGGTGAATGCGACGGTGTCCATTGCATAGCATATGATTGACATGCAGGCCTCGACAGCTACAACGATTTCGTCAGGGTACAAGAGGTCAAGCGCATCCTCCACGAAACGGCACACCTACAGGGTAATTATTAAGGGATCAGAGAGTCAGTCACAGAGAACGAGAGATGACCAGTCTGCATTGGACATCGATTGTGCGTCTGTCTGTGTCTGCGTGAATGCAGACAGAATCAAATTTTACAGGCAGTGGCGCGAGTCGACCGAGAACCTCTGGGTCGACGAGAAGATAATGAACGTGAGCCTGCCTGCGAGACGGAGCGAGTTTGTCGACCCTAGTGCGCCCTCTAGGATGATGCAGAGAAGGCGCCGTGTGTATGTCGGGGTATGTTGTCTTCCTTTCCTTTGACAGACAAAACTTCAGGAGGAGATGGATCGGTCGTGTCCTTCTGTTGCCTTCAAACAGAACCGGCAGCTCAAGGAGGGGCCTATTGTGTCGGCTACCGCGCCAGGAGCACCGCCTGAACCGATGCACGACGGAGAGGAAGGTCAGTCGACAGACAGACAGACAGACAGACAGACGTGCACACACAGCACACAGAAACGCACACCCATTGCCGCTCATTCCCCCTTTACTCTGTGTGTGTCTTCGTTTAGGTGCCCCGCAGTCCATCGGTCAGAGGCAGCAGCTGGAGACGGCCGTGGACGTACCTAGACCATCATTGGCCGTTGAACATGTTGCAGATCGTTGTCTGCATTTTATATCCTGACGTTCCCATTGCTTTCGTTTAGCTGCAAGCACGTCATCAGGTGTGTCTCATCGTTGCCAGGATGAGACATGAGATCCCGGCCAGGTACAGTACGTAAGCGTTTTCTCTTCATCTGTGGCTGAGTGCATGTGACCATCCTTTTCCATCTCGCGTCCCTACGTATGTGTCTGTCAGGGCCAGGACGACGGGCTGGCCAACGACGCTAACGAGGGGGAGGGGGAGGGAGAGGCCCAGGCCGTCGAAGAGAGTGATGGGTTTGAGGATGGCGAGTCGGAGTCGGCGAGCGAAGGAAATGAGAGTGAGGAAGAGGAAGGTCAGTCAGCCGACACACACGGACGGGCACACACAACGCACACACGAACATGACGCATCCCCTTTCACTCTTGTGTGTGTTCTGCGCAGGGTCAGGTTGTTCATCCGCGGGGCACTCTGCCGCTGCAGAGAGCGACAGGGGCGCCGGCAGTGATGACGATGCAGACATCGAGGAGCAGCAGGACATCCAAGGTGATACACACACGCGGGCGCACGCACTCACGCACGTACAGACGTCCCACTTTACTCTGTGTGTATGTGTCCATTCAGATGGCGCGTCGCCGGTTTCAAGTCAAGATGACTTCCATGGCGACGATCAAGAGGCAGAGGAAGATGAAGGCGAGGACAACAGCGGAACCAGATGTACCACACCATCAAGGACCGTAAGGCTGAATGCATTTGTCGTGAGTCTTGATATGTACTTCTGCTGTCTTTGCTGTAGTACTTGGGAGATCCAGTGAGCACGTCAGGTGTCTTGAGGTCAGGCGTCTCCTCGTCGGAAGCGAGCGCTACGAGGGTAGAAGGAAGCCACACATGGCGTCAGACAGGCGCAAAAGACGATCTGCCTTGTCGGCCTGCCTTGTCGATTGTGAATGCACAGATCGGACGAGGTTCCAGATCAGGTGGCGTGAGTCGACCGAAAACATGTGGGAGCTCAATGCATTAATGGACGGACCAAATGAATGTATATCTGTTTGCCTTCCCTGCCATGGACAGAGAAAACTCCAGGAGGAGATGGAGCAGCTCAAGCAGGAGATGGAGAAGCTGAAGGAGGAGGTACAAATATGAAGAGGCGCCCCTTGGTTGCGGTGTGCATCAATCGGTCGTGTCCTCCTGTTGCCTTCAAACAGAACCGGCAGCTCAAGGAGGCCCTCAACACGTCGGCAGCCGCACCCGCACCAGCAGCTCCGTCTGAAGTCGACCACCAGCACCAGGTTGCGGGCGCGGTGCAGGAGGAGGACGACGGCTGGGGTCAGTTTCTTGTCATCGGCGACGATGACGCGGCGGCGTGGGAGGAAGCATCGAGTCAGTCGACACATAGGCCGACACACACAGAGCACAGATACATAAACGCCCACCCATTGCCGCTCATTCCCCCTTTACTCTGTGTGTGTGTTCGTTTAAGTGCCCCGCAGTCGACCGACCCCAGCCAGGAAGGACAAGCGAAGCAGCAGCTGGAGACGGCCGTCGGCGTGCCTGCGGACGCGTCAGCAGCTGCTGCTTCGGCCTACCCACCACACGGGCAGGAGGATGGCGATGGCTGGGGGACCTTCGGCGATGACGACGATGGTGGCCATGGGGGCGATGACGAGCAAGCGGAGCGGAGGGTCAGTCGACACACAGACAGAAAGACACGGCATACGTAAACGCACCTGCAGTACCGCTCGTTCCCCCTTTACTCTCTATGTGTGTTCGTTCAGGCGGTTCGCTGTCTTCGCTGTCAAGTGCGAGTGGAGAGCATCTCGGCAGCGACGTTGACGAAGGCGCGGGTGAGGGGATTCCAGACGAGCCCCCCATCATGCTGCCCCCCGCCATGCCGCTAGCTGCTCGGCCACGTCCTACTACTGCAGCTTCTGCCGCTGCACGACCTGTGCCCGTCGGCCCGCCCCCTACCCTCATCCCCCATCCCCTCATCGGGCATCCTCCCTGCCACATCCACTTCCTTCCGCCGCATATCGTCCCGTCGCACATGCTTCCGCGGCCGGTTTGGTTGCCCCCGCCTCCCCCACCGCAGCCTGCCAGGCTTCCGCTGCCGGCGATGCGAGAGCGACGGGCGATTAGCCGCTCAAAATGTTGCGGCCAGTGAGATGCGCTGGAAGGGGGAGGGAGGGTGTCGTGGGGGTTGTATTGAGGGAGTCTTGAATGCCGCTGATTTTGGATGGATGGATGGATGAATGAATGGATGGAAAGACACAAGTGTACGGGCGGGCGGGCTGGGCGTGCGGCTGTAGGTGGTTGGAAGGAAACCTAACGACTGCCTGTCTGTCTGTCTCTCTCTCTCTGAAGCAGTGGCCAGACTGAATCTGAGTAAGTGGGGGATGGGGGATGGGGGATGGGGAATGGGGAAGGGACGTCTGTCAAGCTATTGCGAGAGCGTGGTGTCTCTCTGTGCGTATGTACGTCTGGTGTAATGTGATGTGTACTAGTGAGGAGTCTCAATGTGAAGGGCTGGCGGAGGAGGGGAGGGGAGGGAGGGAGGGGGTCGGTACGTGTTGTATTCTACCGCTGCCCCTGGATGATGGCTGGATGGGTGCAAATCGCTGTCTACATTTTATATCCTGACGTTCCCATTGTTCTCGCAGCTGCGCACGTCAGCAATTGAGAGTTGTGTCTCTTGTTGCCAGGATGAGACATACATGAGATGCCGGAGGAGAAATGGATATCTTAGACAGCGGGGGCGAGTTGCTGTCTCAGCAGTGTGTGTGCGTGGCCAGTGACTGCATATCGCGTGAAGAGTTTGAACTCCCATGCGGTCGGTGATGATGACCAACGGCTTCGTATGGCCAGCTGTCCGATGACCGACCGATAAACAACGTCACACGAGCATGCACCAGTCAGGCGCGACGTATGGATGGCTACTGGAGGGTGGGAAAAGCACACGAGTGAACGTATCCACATATCCACAACCAGAATGAAACGAAGAAAGGACTTCCTCTCCCCTCTCTCTCCTCCCTTCCCTAATCTGTCGGCTGCCCCTGCCCGGCAGCCCGGCCCTCCTCCGCCCTCACTGCGTGTATACTCTGCTGCGTCTGCATGGAGAGGCTCTGCAGCACGGGCAGCTGCCGGGAGATGACGCTCATGGTCTCTGAGAGGGCCACCTGCCGGTCCATCAGACGGGCGGAGAAGTCCTGCAGCTGCGACTCGGTAGTCAGCGACGACAGCTCAGCCGACAACCTATCGCCACATACACACACATACACACACACACACAGACAGACAGGGATAGCTTAAGGTGACAGAGGTGCGCGTGTGCGTGTGGTTGAGGAATATGGGATGCTCACTCGGCTGGGTCGCTGTTGAGATGGGCGAAGGACTTCTCCAACCTGATCATGTTGGCAGCAACACATACGGGCGGCGTGTGACCGTATGGTGCCTTCGACTCGCCCACCCACCCACCCACCCACAAACACGAACCGTTCTATCTGTCTGTCCTTGTCGAGGATGAGTGCGTCCTTGAGCTGGCTCTCGAACCTGACCATGTCCAACTCGCGCACCTTGGCAGCAGACCTACACACACACACGCCGAGAGAGAGAGTTTGTGTGAGTGTGCGTGTGAGTGTGTGTGTGTGCGTGTGTGTGTGTGTGTACCAGTGCTGGGTCTGCTGCATGTTGTCTATGATAGCGTCCTTCTCGGCCAGCTGCTGCTTCAGCGACTCGATCTCCCTCTCCGCATCACACCTGACCGACACGACACACACATCGACACGACACACCCAAATGACACACCCACATACCAACACACAGATGTGTGAACCATCTGGCTGCCTCGCTGCCTGCCTGCCTCCCCACCGACCTGGTCTCATTCTTGCTGCCCGAGTTAAGAGCGTTGTCCTCCTCCACATTCTCTACCGTCCTGCAAACCCAGCCCACATACGGTCGTGCTGTGTGCAGCTGTGTCTGTGTTGCGGTGCGGGTGTCTTCTCACGCACGTGTGGGTCTCGACGCGCAAGCTACGCATTACGCGTTCCGGCGGGGGGTGGCCGTTCAGGTCCTCCTCCTCGGCAACTATGGCCTGGAACCGATCCGATAACTCGGGGGCACTGACAGATGACAGACAAATAGCGGGAGATGGTGTGTGGGTGTGCGGGTGTGTGGCTGCCTGGATGATGATGGCTTCTGTCCGTGTGTCGTGCGTGTTTTGTTTGTTTGTCCGCACCCATCAGTATCCTGGTGGTGGTCATCGGCAGCATTGCCGTTGCCGGGGCTAAGCGAAGGGTCAGATGGGACACACCTGCACACAACACTCACAGGAAGAAATGTCAGCCCGGCCGGCCTCTCCTCTCTCTGTGTGCTCGTGTCGGTCACCCGTCGTCGGGGCTTGCAGCAGAGGAGCTCGCGGCAGCCGGACTGCCATCATTGCCGTCGGGCGAAGGTGAGCCGCCCTCACTTGGCTGCCCTTCACCACCCCTAACACATAAATCGATCAGACATCACGGCAAGGAACAAGCCCTTGTGTGTGGACAGGCCTTTGTGGGTAAACTTCTGTTCCTGCTCACCCCCCAGCGGCATTGGTGCGCTGCTGCTGCTGCTGCTGCTGCGTGTGTGTCTTGGTGTTGGTGTTGGTGCTGGTGCGTCCGCCCTTTGCTCTTCGGTTGGCTGTGTGCTTCTTGTCGCCCCCTCCCCTCCTGCCGTATGACGACAGTAATGTGGCCGTGGAGTGGGGTTGGTGGTGGTTTGTGTGTTGGTGGTCGTCGTCGAAGCTCTCCATCATCCTGTCGGTGCGCTGGAACTCCTCGCCCTCGATGCGCGAGAAGAAGTCCAAAAGCTGAACACACACACATACGGGGTGGAGTGCCTCATGTGGGTGTGAGGGTGTGTTGGGTGGGTGGATCGGCGCACATTCTGCTGCACGTTGAGTTGGCTGCCCTTGCGGGTCTTGTGGGCGGATGCCCGCATCTTCTTGACGCAATCTAGCTGCAGCAGAGAAGACACATTTATGCGACACACAACTCAAGGGGGATAATATTTGCTGCCATTGTCTGTGGTGCTGACCTGCAGGATGATGTGGACGTAGCTGTTGCGGCGGTGGGTGCCCTGGTCCACCAAACTATCGCCGTACCTGAACACACACATACACACACATACACACACACACACACACAGAGGTGTAATATGTGTGTTGCCGTGTGTTGGGGTGTCAGCTGTCGTGGCTGACCTGACGATGTCCTCGAGCATGAGGCATGCGGCGGCTTCGACGTTGACGGCCAGCTCGCCCCTGGCCTGCCAGTACAGCAGACTACACAAACCCTCCAGCAAACCCTCGCGAACACACTCCTGCACCCACACTCACACACGGACTAGTAGGAAGGATCGCTGTCTGTGCGTGTGTTGGGTATAGGATGACCTTCTCGTGGCCTTTGGCGAGAACTCCCAACAGATACAGCACACGGGCGGTGCACAAGCGACCTGCACAACGCACACACACACACACACACAATGTCATCATCTCAGGCTGTCTGTGCCGTGTCACGCACGCCCACATCCATCCATCCATCCATCCATCGGTACCGAGTTCGCCCTTGATGATTCTCTCCTCTTTGGCCAGCCTGATGAGCGTCGTGAGGAACCCCACACGCACCACGCTCGCGTGGTCCATCACCTCTGACGCACACACACACGCACACACGTGTGTGTGCTGTGCCGTCGGTGTGTGCGTGTGGGCGTCCACACAACGAACCCATGAGCAGCCACGGCAGGAAGGTGATACAGATCATGTGGTGCTTCAGCAGACGGGGGTGCCCGCGGGGCTCCTTCCTGCATCCACACACACACGGTGGACAGTGGATTGGTTTTGATGCACGCCCCCACGCACACACGCACCTGAATGTCTGTGCGATGTGTCTGAGGACCTCCTCATCGTCGAACACCATCCTGCAGTGGCCGTTACGAACGCCGGCGGCGTCCACCAGATGCCCGTTGCCGTCAGTGAGCCACGCTGCATCAAGGCAAACCAAACACACCGGGGCTGTGCGCGTGTGCATCTGTGTGTGTGCGTGTGTACGCTCAGTGGCCAGGTTGAGGATGTAGCTCAGGACCATGGTGGCTGTCCACTTGAGCACGGGCTTGTCCTCGCAGCACTGACCCTTGGCCAGCGCTGCCAGGTTGGACACCATCTTCTGCCGACAGTGTTCCTGCCCACACACCCACACCCACACCCACACCCACGTGCACCCCAGGGAGCCATTCTCTCTCTCTCTCTCTCTGTGTGTGTGTGTGTGTGTGTGTGTCACCTTGACGGCCGCGTGGTAGACTTCCTCAAAGTCGTCCTTGCGCACTGACAGCCATGCTCAATTGGGGGGAGGGGAGATGGAAAGGACTCATAGTATCCATGTGACACATTGCTGGTGCCTCTTTTGATGGACGAGCCACCCACCACTCCCCCCTGTGCTGCCTGCGGCTGGCCTACTTTTCTCCAGTGCCCTGCGCAGGTTGCTCTCCATCCAGCTGGCCAGGTCGAGCGTGTGCACCAGGCCGACGTACTTGGACTCATCCAAGACCACCTCACTGCTGGTGGTGCTGCTGGTGGTGGCGGTGGTGATGGCGGTGCTGGAGGTACTCGCCTTGGTGGGCTGCCCGGCGGCGGCATCCTCACCCCCACCACTCCCAACGCTGCTGCTGGTGCTGCAGCTGCTTCTGAGTTGCTGGAGCTGCTGCTCGATGAAGCATGCCCTTCCGATGGCCCCGTCCACCAATCCAGTGGTCATGCCCATCACAACTGCATCCCATAAACACACATACACACACAACAGACACACACACACACAAAGAGAGAGAGGTCTCTCCACATGCATCTCTCCACCCCTTCCTTATACTCACCGGAAACCGGCATGACCGACGGCCAGGCATCCTTGATCATCAGGACCCCCAAGAAGTCCAAGGCCGCTTCCCCGGCCATGTGGCCCGGCGACCCCACGATGCCCATACACTCGGGGACCACTTCGGGGTAGTGGGTCAAGATGTAGTCGCGGAAGTCGATGTCGGTGCCCCGCCATATGGAGGCCCCCTCGGCGCTCACCTTGCCAGCCGCCCACAGCAGCCGGAACCGAGCTCGTGTGACGTGCTCGGCGAGGGTGTGGGGCTTGTAGACCTTGTCGGTGGGGTGCAGCGGGATGCGATTGATGCAGGCGAAGTAACCCTACAATGAGGTGAGAGAGAGGAGAGATGAGAGAGTTCTTTCTTCTCTCTGCTTTTGTTTGGCTCGGCTTACGGCTACGTCAGGGGGGTCGAGGGTGCCCGAGTAGGTGAGGATGAAGGAGGGGTGGCTCAACCGACACAACGCCTCTACGATGCTGCACCACACGATACACACATTCCAACACACAACCACACAGACAGAGCAATGAACAAACGGCCGTCTCCAGGCACCCTCTTCGCTCTCTCCTTCTCACTTTGAAGCATGTACTTGGCTCTCGGGCGTCTTGGGCGCCCTCATGGCCTCAATCAGCACCCTCAACGCCTTGCGATTCACCATCACCGCCGTCAAATCATAGGCCCGCTGCTGATCCTGCGCCGCCCCGATGCCGGTGACATGCCACTCCAGCTGCATGAGGCAGTTGTCAAATGCCGCCTGGTCGTCCTGGCTGGCGATGAGGGCCTCGACCAACTCCAGCCCCTCGGGTTTGTACTTGGCGCCCCGGGCCTTGACCTGCTTGATGAACTCATCGATGCTGTTGGTGCGTGGTGCCACCGCCAACGGACGCTCCTCTGTACTCATCACGACCAACGAAAGAACGGCGGGCTCCTGGTCTCATTGCGAGCTTTGCGACTCGCTGACGATCTCTCCCGATTTTAGGCTAGATCTCCGAGGACAAGGCCGCCGCAACCCCATGGACGAGTTGAATATACCTGACCTGCCGGCTGCGCCCTTCTCGGTTGATGGGCTGTTCAAGGGCGGCACGACGCTGGCTGAGGAGCGGGTCTTGCTCGAGCGCTCCAAGACCATGTCCGTCATCACTGACAAAGTCACCATTGTCGGCGCCGGGCAAGGTACCTGAATGAATGAAGCGGGGGGCGGTGAGAGGCCTGTGTGTGCATGTCTTGTCTGTGTGTCTGGTGGATTGGATCCTGGTGTGTGTCAGTTGGTATGGCGTGCGCGTTCGCCATCGTGTCGCAGGGCTTCAGCCACCATCTGGCGCTCGTCGACATGTACGAGGACAAGGTGAGGCACACAGACACACGCACACAGAGAGAGAGACAGACAGACGACACGGCAGGCTCAAGTCCGTGTGTGTGTGTGTGTGTGTGTAGGTGAAGGGCGAGGCGTGGGACCTGGAGCACGCCAGCGCCTTCATGCGCGGCGGACTGAAGATCGAAGCTTCCTCAAGTGAGACGACGGCATCGATATCATCCACGCACAGAACAGCTGGATGGATGGATGGATTGTGTGTGTGGGTGCGTGTGTGCGTGTTGGTTAGGTTATGACATCACGCACAGCAGCAGCGTGTGTGTGGTGACGGCCGGCGCCCGGCAGCGGGAGGGCGAGAGCCGACTCGACCTGCTGCAGAGAAACGTGCAGATCTTCAAGAGTGAGAGACTCTCACTCACAGACAGACAGACAGACAGGTTCTCGCGCACACACGCGGTGTCAATGGTGCTTGTTTCTGTGCTTGTTTCTGCTCTGTATATGTCAAGACGTCATTCCCAAGCTGGTGGAGGAGAGGTAAAGCGACACACACGCACGAACGCAAATTTCATTGCTGGCCCTTCTCACGCTACGCTACGCTACGCTACGCTATGTCTGCTCGCCTATCGCTCAGCCCTGACACCGTCCTGCTGATCGTCTCCAACCCTGGTCGGCCACCAACACCAACAGCAGTAGCCGCCGCCGCCGCAGCCCATCAAACAGACAAACAGACAAATGAACATGCCGTGTGGGATGCGTTTGGTATGTGTGCAGTGGACATTCTGACGTGGGTCGCGTGGAAGATCAGCGGTTTGCCCAAGGAGCGCGTCATCGGGTCGGGCACCAACCTCGACTCCTCCCGGTGGGTGGCAGACAGACAGACAGACGAAGGAGCCAACGACGCAGAGACGGAGGGAGGGAGGGAGGAATGTGTGTGTGTGTCTGTCTGTCTGTGTGTGTGTGTGTGTGTTTGGTCAGTCTGCGCACGTTTATGAGTCAGCGATTGGGTGTGGCTGCGGTCAACTGCCACGGATACATCATCGGAGAACACGGAGACTCCAGCGGTACGTCAGAGCTGCCAACAACACGGCAGCAAATACGCGAGGCCCATGGATGGATGAATGGACGGAAGAATGGAAGAAGCCAGCCATGCACACTTATCTCTGTGTGTTTGTGTGTTAATGTGTGTGTGGGTATTGGCATCAGTTGCTGTGTGGTCGAGCATGACTGCGTGTGGCGTCCGGCTGCGTGACCTGAACCCCAAGGCCGGCATGGAGGACGACCCCGAGAACTGGGAAGACCTGCACCAAAGAGTCATCAATGGGTAAGTGAGTGGGTGGGTGGGTGGGTGGCTTGGCGGGGACTCTACACACACACACACACACACATGAGAAAGGGCTTTCCCTCTGTCCGTGTGTGTGGTCTGTGCAGGGCGTATGACGTCATCAAGGCCAAGGGATACACCTCCTGGGCCATCGGGATGAGCGTCTCATGGATCGTCCGCAACCTCCTCAGAAACGAACGCGTCACACACGTCCTCTCCGTACACGCGCAGGTCGGTGGGTACCCAACACCCCCCCCATACACACGCACACGCACACAGAGAGAGAGACGCCCCCCCCAAACACACACACACATATACACACACACACACGCATCAACCGAGTCAATGCGCGTGAGTCGGTGTGTGGATCTGTCCAGAACTTGCACGGCATCAAGGAGGACATGTACCTGGCGCTGCCGGCCATCGCTGGGCCCACGGGCGTGCAGAAGATCATCAGCCTACAACTCACACCGGAGTGAGTAACCAGCCCCACCATATACAGCCGTGACACGCACCACTACCGACCGTGTGTGTGTGCGTGTGCGTGTGTGTGTGTGTGTGTGCAGGGAGGAGGCCCAGCTGCAGAAGAGCGCCTCGACGCTGTGGGAGGTGGCCAAGGAGCTCAAGATGTAGACGAGCCAGCCAGCCAGCCAGCCAGACAACGTCACATCCTGCGTGTGTCGTGTTGCGAGCGACACTTTTCTAGTCATCAGTAGGGTGGTGTCAGGAGGGAGGGAGGGTGGTAGGACGAGAGTAGTATGAGTGTGTGTGTGGATGTGGATGTCTGGGCGACAAGGGGAAGGAGAGAGTGTGGTGTCTGGGGCGGTGGTTTTTGGCCCTCCCGCTGCAGCTCCTGGATGTATTGTATCGCTATCAGCCTTGTTTCCCCTGCCCTGCCAAGTGCGGTGTGGTGCGGGGTCCTCTGCCCGTCACGTCTTCACTCACACACACATCCCACCCAACCACCATGTTGCGTGTCAGTCAGTGTCTGTGGTACCCGTCCATGCGCCCTGGCCTGGCCTTTTTGCGCCCAACTCACTCCGCGTCCGCTCTGTGCCGTGTTGCTGTTTTATCAGTCAGTGTGTCTGTGCGTGGCATGTGTGTGTCTCCATGCTCTTTATCCCACCCAAGAATGATAGTTGTTGTGCTAACGGATGGATGGATGGATAGATGGATGGACGCAAGAAGAGAGTCACATCTGGGATGCATCGAGGGTCGAGGGAGGTGCGTGCCGTGCCGTGATGGGACGAGATGGGACGAGAAGGAATCAACGCAGTGGCTCAACGATGGACGTCTTTATGCCGGTCTTGTCGTCAAGAACATGTATGTGGATGGATTGATTGCATTGTGTGTCATGGCCAGTCACACCATGGATGGCCCGCTGCTGCATGGGCACAGCCGGCGTGTGCCCTCATGGTGGCCCTGACACGTCGAGCGATCCGCCTCACCACCAACCACACATCTGCATACCACACCACACACAGAGCCGTGACACACACACACCGCCACGCGTCATTAATGACACGCACCTTCCTGTCTCATTGGTTGGTGCGTGCCACCTGCCCACATCCGCTGTCCTCGGCTGGTGCTGTTGAGTGGCGATGTAGAGGGGGTTGACGCGGCCATGGCCCTTCCAGCAACCACCTCCACACGGAAAGTGCTCCAGCAAAGCACCACAACTGTTGGCCTGACGATGCGAACAAACACTTGGGGACTCTGCGCACTTCATGTCTCTCTCTCTCTCTCTGCGCATGTGTCCCCCTCTCACCTTGACAAAGCCAGTCGCATCGCACTCCGCTCCCCGCTCTCTACAGGCATCGACACACGCCTGACCCACCATGGCTGCGACCAGCGTCAGCTCATGACCATGATCACGGCCCTCTGCACGCCCTACCCCCCAGTGCTTTAGCGGGGCTATGGGGTGTGTGGTGTGGCAGGGGAATATGTCATCCTGGGGGCAGCGTGAGAGGTCGAATGACTCGAACACGTCCATGTAGGAGCCGATGGTCTCATAGCAGCGGAGGCCTGGCCGGGCCTCGTGGAAGCGATAGCCTGACACAGACACACACAAACAAACTTTCCTCCTCCCTGCCATTATTCCGCAACTGTTGTGGGTGTCTGGACGCACCTGGGTACGCCGAAAGGTCCCCAATGTGCTGCATCAGGTTGTACCGATACACCAGCGGGATCCGGTCACGCAAGTACGCCGCCGATGACTGCCTGAGCCGTCCATCTGTGCCTGTGCCTCCTCCTCCTGCCGTTGCACTCGGCACGCGTCTCTTGCTCAGCCAGTAGTTGACGAGCAGGTCCACAGGAAGGGCCATGCCGTTGCTGTAGAGAAAATGCGACAGCAGGGGGATGTCCGCACGCTTCAACACAAGACCATTAAGGCCTGACAGACGACAGAACCAGACAGACATAGACCACGAGCACATCTGCAGACAGAATGGGTGGCCGGGCGGGTCGCTTGTGAGCTCACCGAGACTGACTCTGAGGGCGCTCCATTGGCCAAAGTACCTGGTCGCCTTGAGCATGGCCCACAGCAGGGCCAGCACGCCCCCCGCACACACGACGAAGTCGTCCTCCATCAGCAGGAAATACGGCGTCAACGAAAACTCGTGCAGGGCCGTCTTGAACAGATGGATCACATCACACGTATGGCGGCGGGTTGTGGGGCCGGGAGGTGTCTGGCCTTCGTCACGACGACCTGCAAGACGCAGGAAGCAGTCTATCTATGACTGGGGCTGTGGGGAAGGGGACGTGTGTGTGCTGACGCACCTGCTGCTGGTGAGCACGGCGCACCGACGTAATCATGCCCCTCCCTCACAATCTTCACTCGCCGATCACGGCGGTATGTCTCTTCTGCCTTGTCGAGAGCGGCGTGCGGCATCGCCGCCCTGCCCTCCTCAAAGGCATGATACACCAACACACCGACGCGCCTCTTCAGCGCACCGAGAGCCCTCGTATCGTCGGAAGAAAGAGACGACAGTCCGCCTGCTGATGATCCATCCAGCTGCTGGATCAGTGCTGCGAGTGTCGGGTTGAGGTAGTCGGTGCCATTCCCCCGCGGCACGGTCGGAATGATGATGGCCAGGAAGGGAGCTGAGACCTTCGTCGTCGCTGGTGTGTCGAGAAGGCGGACCAGCTCATGGCTGATGTTAAGGCGAATGGGCGGCTGCGTGAATGGCTTGACATGCCGCTCCAGCCACCGTTCCGACGGCCACATCTGGCGGTACTGCCACAGCAAATCGGACTCATTGCCGCCCCCCGGGTACACGACTTCATGCTTCAGTGCAGACACGTCCGCGGCCAGCTGCGGCGGCTGCCGAAGTCGATGTGCACGCCCGGCGGCTTCTCTGTGTGGCTGTCGAAGGCTGTGGGTTGGGAGGTATATGTCTGTGCGGCGGAGGACGAGCACGATGTTCAAGATGGTCAGGGCGAAAGTGACGATCAACACCCGGACCAGCCACCATTTGAAGGGCCTGTCCACTTGGAACGGATGCCATTTGGACCACCAAGGCATCTCCTCGCTCCGACATTTACCTCTTCTCCGGGCGGGCTAGCTCGCAGGGAAGTCGCGCGCAAAAATGGCGATGCGGATGCCTCTGGTCCGTGCCTGCACTCGGTCGGCCTTCATTCTTCCCCTCCCCTGCCCGCCAGCCATCACTCTGAGCCCAGTGCGGCCTTTCTCGTCCACGACGCAAGGCAAGAAGCCTTCCGAGAGCCCTCTGCCGCCATCCTTGAGGCACTCTCCAGCAGATGCCGGTCTGGTGCAGGGCGATGGCAGGAGCTTGAAGATCATCAAGCAAGATGCACTCGCAAAGAGTCGAGATGACGCGCTCAGCAGGGGAGAAGACGGCACGGAGGTGAGATACAGAGGCAGACGGCATGCAGTGATGCCTTCTTGCAGTCACGTCGCACCTGCTCTCTTGTTGATCTCCGTATGTGTGCGTGTGTGTGCAGGTGGTTCCTGCCCCCGAGCCGCCGGAGCGGTCGCCTTTGGCGTTTTGGAACTACTGCACGGACATCACGATCTGGGCCATCGCGAGGTACCCCACCTGCCTCACCCGCGACGAGATGAAGGAGTGGGACCACAAACGACGGCTGCTCAAGGGCAGGGAGGAGGAGGTCCAGAAGGTCGTCAACACACTCTGCAAGACGTACGGACACACACACACACGCACACACACACACACACACACACTGCAGCGGCAGCAAGAGGGAACGGCTGACGTGGATGTGGATGTGTGTGTGGATGTGTGTGTGCAGCAAGAGGGTGCCGCTGCTGGTTCCACAAGCGCCGCCCGGCACCAAGCAAGTCGCCGAGAGGTCGGCATTTGTGGCCCGACTGATCATGGAGAGCATCACACAGAGGGTGGTGTCAGGCACCACTCACAAACAGCTCAACGGTAGGCAGCAAGAGCCTAGCAGAGCCGGGCATTTCTCCTCTGTGTGTGTGTAGTCATCTCCCTGTGTGTGTGTGTTCAGGTCGTCAGGTGGTCATCTTCGACCTGGACCGCTTCGCATCGGACATCGATGTGTTGATCCAGCTGATGAAGCGTGACCCATCCACAGAGATGCACATGCGACTGAAGCTCACCGAAGAGATCCGCAAGACCCTCCGTGACGCCACAGACCACGTCATGCCCGGTGTGGTCTACCGAGGGCCGATCGTCTTCATCGACGACCTGCAGAAGGTCTTCTTCTCTGCGGATGGCGGCAAGAAGGAGAGGAATGCCGGGCTGGTGGCTGTGGCCGCCATCCTGGGTCCCATGATCAAGACGGGCAAGGTCAAGTGTGTGGGCGTCACGTCGATGGAGGACTTCCAGGTGTCTCTGGCGGGCAAGAAGAACGACATATTCCTCCCTGTGATGGCGGACCTGAAGAAGCACGTGGTGGTCAAGTACCGCACGGCGTGGCACGGCGGCAAGGCCAGCGTGGAGGAGTATGAGGAGTTCATCAACGAGGGCAACCCGCTGGGGAGGAGGCTGTACCAGCTGTTCGAGATACTGCTCTACATATGCGTTGCGCTTCTCATTGCGGTCATCATCTGGTTCACCTTGTACGGGTCATTCATGAGGACGGAGTGATGGATTGATGACCGTGGGTGGAGTGGACAGACACCGCAGCACACACATGGATGGATGGGGGCTAATTGGGTGGTAGGGCAGGTGTGCAGTGTGCAGATGTCCGTGTGGTCTGTGTGTGGTGGAAGACGGTCACTGACGGACGCCATGTCCAATGTGAAGGCTGTACATCGATTCATGAACCGCATGATCTTGAGTCTGGCATGCAGGCACACACAGAGAGGGCCCCACACACACCACACCCGGCCCAGAGGGCCATCTACACCAGCTATGCACAGCACACGACACTCACGCACGGACACACACACTGATCGATGCACACCCACACACGCAACACACCCACGGCCGCCGGCCTCCACCACCCACCACTTATCCGACGTCTCACGTGCTGCCCCAGCCACCGTCATCGGCTCTGTTGACGGCTGGCTGGGCCGCCCTCTCGGCAACAGCCGCGGGTGCGGGCGGGGGAGCGTGGGTGAGTCTGTCAGGGAACCATCCGGATGACTCGGGCCGGGGGTCAGCAGTGCCGTCCTGCTGGACGATATTTCCGTATATCATCCCGCGCCCGTCGCGATAGATGATCTTCACCCTCATCCCCGCAGTCACCGACAGGTCGTCCTCGTCCGTCCCCTCCCAATCCCGCCTTATGATCACCTCCTCCTTCTCCTCCTCCCCCTCCCTCTCAACACCGCACACACTGCCCCCCTCCCCCTGAGCCGCTCCACCAACGCCCATCTGCTGTTGGCTTCCCACGACCCCGCCCTCGCCTCTCCCACTGCCGCCCTCTCCCCCGACCCGCTCGCCTCCTGTGCCCTCCTCCAGGAGGCCGCCGATGATGGGGCCCGGCTGCTGCTCGTGCTGGTGTTCTTGCTCGGGCGGTATTCTTGCTGGCTCGGGCGGTGAGGGGTCGCGGCCAACGCCTCGGTTCTGTGCGGGGGCAGCAGCATGGCTGATGTGTGCAGATGGGGCGGGTGGGGGGTGGGGGGCGGCAGATGAACCGTTGCCGTGGGGCAAATGGACCCGCACTCCTGGCTGCAACTGCAGGCCACGTCGTGCCAGCGCCGACGCGTCGATCGGCCGGTTCTCGGGGGGACGGGTGGGCGGGTTGGGTGGCATGGGTGCGGGATTGGGAGCGGGGAGCACGCCCTGACTCACAAATGGGCGGTGTAACGCGTCGTCCGCTGATGGATGGATGACACATGCAAGGAGGGGAAGGTGTGAGTGCGACTATGTGTGTTGGTTATGCACATTCTGCTGCTGACCAGTGATGCGATGATACGGATGTTCGGCGAGTAGGCGATGGATGAGATCGCAGGCCTCGTGGTCCTGCTGCATGAGTGCGTCGATGGTGTAGCCCTGAGAGAGAGAGGCACCACGCAGGTAAAGATGACGATGCACAGAGTTCGTGTGTGGTGCGGTGCGGTGCCGTTGCCTCAATCAATCACCTTCTCGATCTTCTGCAGTGCGTCACCGCGGCTCAGCCCGGCGACCTCAAACGGAAAGCGATTCATCAACACCCGATACCTGCACAGCACACACCCCAGCCAACCAACACGACAACCAAGGAAGGATAATAACAAAGTGCGGTGTCGTCTCCGTTTGTCTATCTGTCACTCACATGATCACCCCAGCGTCCCACATGTCACTGGCCGACGAGAAATGCGAGGCGACGATGGTCTCCGGAGCCTGAAGATAAACACGTCAAGGCATGAACTGAATCTCGCTACGTGTGGTCGTCCGTTGCCCGCCCACCATATGCGGGAAATGGCCAGGGGGCTCCCGCAGGTGCTCGGCGTCGCGTACACTCACACACAGGTCGAAGTCGACGAGAACCACACACACGTTGCCGCTGGCGTCACGAGTGACAATCAGATTGTCCTCCTTGATGTCACGGTGCACCAACTGCAGCACACAGGCACACACCAAGACAGCACACTGACACGAGCCATGATGTGTCGCCCATGCGCCCCCCATTCGCTCACGTTGTTGTCGTGTAGGTGTTTCAGTGCCTCGAACACGCCCTCCATGATCGTCGCGATCTGTTCGCGTGGCAGCGGGTGTCGCGTGTAGCTGTACTGCAGTAGGTTCTCTCCATGAATCCTGCGACCAAAGCAAGAGCACGTTAGCCAAGTCAACGGAGAAGCGCCAAACAGAGGGCTTTGTAGTTCCAACCATGGCATGACCACGTAGGTGCTCTGGGCATCGGCAGAGGCGTAGTATATCTCGACGGTGTTGGGATGATTTGCCAGCTTGAGCATCTCATAGACCTCCAGCGTCCGCTGGGTGGCGCGCTGACCGACAAACGACCTGAGTGAATGAATGAATGAATGAATGAAATGAATCAAGCGAGCAGGGAAGGAAGCAGACGCTGTGATCTCGCTCACTCGTGCAGTGCTTTGCTGATCTTTTTGCAGGCGCAGCGTGTGCCCGACGCCCTGTCCGTCGCAGTGGCCACCTGAGCAAACCTGCTCATACAGACATCCAAACCACGCAGGTGCATCGCAGCGTCCGCGTGCGTTGCTCTCTCTGCATTCATTCACCATCCACCTACATACCCGCCCTGGAAGATGACGTGCCCCACATCGAATCTCTCCAGCAGCCGAGAGTCAGCAACGTTCATTGCCGGTTGCGCGGCCGCTGCCGCCATCCCTATGACGGCCGTGAATTGGCAGGGAATCGCAGAAATCCCACCTCGTCGCTGCGAGCTTTCAGGCTCGCAGGGAAAGGGAGAAGAAGGCGGAAGTGAGGAGGAGAAGGAGCTGCTCCTGAAGAGAGAAGCTGAAAGGCGAGAGAGCCGCTGTGTGCTGCTGAAGCCCGTCACCGCCATGCCCATCGACCCAACCTGGTTCCTCGGCAAGAGGACAGGCGGCGACCCGCCCCCGCTCCCCGAGCTCTGCTCAGGAACCGTGTCCCTCACCAAGCTCAACATGACGGAGCTGATGAAGGACCGGCAGAACATGTACCGCACCATCAAGCAGTGTAAGGGTGACTGCGCTGCGTGTTCTGCACGAGCACATATGTGTGTGTGTTGTGTGACGCAGGCCTCGACAGCTACACCAACGATTTCGTCAGGGTTCAAGAGGTCAAGCGCATCCTTCATGAAAGGGCACACTTACAGGGTAATTATGAAGGGACATTAAGGGATCCTCCTGCGAAACAAACCAGTTCTGTTTCTCGCTACTCTCGCAAAACCTGACAATGACACACAATACCAGCACCCACACAGCGAGTTGGCGAACTATAGACAGCTCC